CACACAACAGCCAGAAAGATGCTAGGAGAAGTGAGAGAATTCGGTTTCAATCCAGGGTGAGGGGTCTCTTTCCGGAAATGTTGCCCAATCAAAAGGCATGTATAGTCCCCTGGTCGCATTTCCCATTTCCCACGGAATGGTTGGGTGTCTGGCTGGTGAGTCTTGCCCACATGCTCAGGGTTTAGCTGATCGCCATATTTGGGGTCGGGAAGAAATTTTCCTCCAGGGTAGATTGGCAGAGACCCTGGAGGTTTTTCGCCTTCCTCTGTAGCATGGGGTACAGATCACAGCTGGAGGATTCTCTGCATCTTGGGGCCTTCAAAGTATTTGAAGGTTTCAATATCTGAGATATAGGTGAGAGGATTATTCTAGGAGGGGTGGGTGAGATTCTGTGGCCTGCACTGTGCAGGGGGTCAGACTAGATGGTCATAATGGTCCCTTCTGACCTTAAAGTCTATGGCTACGTCTACACTGGCATGATTTTCCGAAAATGCTTTTAACGGAAAAGTTTTCCGTTAAAAGCATTTTCGGAAAAGCACGCCTAGATTGGCAGGGGGGTTTTTCCCCAAAACACCTTTTTTTCCCCGATCGCCATTTTCGCGATCAGGGCTTTTTTGCGGAAAACAGTACTATGCTGTCTACACTGGCCCTTTTGCACAAAAGTCTTTCGGAAAAAGACTTTTGCCCAAACGGGAGCAGCATAGTATTTCCAGAAAAGCACTGATGATTTTACAGGAGACCGTCAGTGCTTTTCCGGAAATTCAAGCAGCCAGTGTAGACAGCTGGCAAGCTTTTCCACAAAATCATCTGATTTTGTGGAAAAACTTGCCAGTGTAGACACAGCCTATGAATTTAAAAAAAACTTTTTTGGTTAATGACACCTTTTGATTTCTGAACTGGCCATTTGATGTTTCTAACACCCCACACTATGAGTAAGCTGATCAATCTACCTTACAGTAAAAACAAACTTCCACAAGCAACACAGAGGGAAAATATTTTTCCAAAGGGTAAAGAGAAGCACTTGACTGGCCATCTATGAGACGCTCATCACGATTTTCACCCCTCTCGTCGTGCTTCTTGTCCTCTCCTCTCTAAACTAAAATGTCCAACTCTTCCTGGCGCTCCAATGATTTTCTTTGCTCGCCCCCTTTCCATTCTCCTGGCTCTTCTTTGAGATGGACTCATGGTCCCAAGGTCTCGAAGCCAATGCACGTAAAGGCAAAAATTTCACTAGCCATTTTTCATGCCCTATCACTTTGCAAATAACTGACTAACTCAGGAGAGGGCATGAGAGCCTCCGTGGGCCGGATTTGACCTGTGGCTGCCCTGCCGTTCTCCCGCCCCCAGGCCAATCAAGAGCTGGGGATGGGGGAGCATGTGAAACTTTCTCCTCCTGCCAGGGGAACTGGTGGCTGTTTTAAAACAGCCAATGGTTCTCTCTAGCTGCTGTGCACCTCTGGCAGGGTGGGGGCAGGAGGCAAGAGACTTCACGCGCTCCCTCCCGCCCCCCAGGCCCCGCTGGGGGTAGGGCGGAGCATAAAGTCTCCTCCCACTGCAGTGCCTAGAGGGAGCCACCTGCTGCTTTGAAACAGCTGGCGATTCTCTCTAGGCATGGGGAGGGGGGGTACCCCCAGGCCAATCAGGGTCTGTAGGTGAGGGAGCACAAGAAGTCTCCCAGCCCCTCCCCTTCCGCCCAAGCCCCGCCCCTTCCAGGGCAACCTGGGACCACTTCAGACATTTATAAAGTGGCCCCCTTTTAAAAATTGTTGCCCACCCCAGCCCAACTTGTGGCTCTCCATCATCTCTGTGAAGTCTTGATCTCAAGTTCTCTCTCCCGCTGAGTATTCATGACTCTGAATATTACAAGAAGTCTCCCAGCCCCTCCCCTTCCGCCCAAGCCCCGCCCCTTCCAGGGCAACCTGGGACCACTTCAGACATTTATAAAGTGGCCCCCTTTTAAAAATTGTTGCCCACCCCAGCCCAACTTGTGGCTCTCCATCATCTCTGTGAAGTCTTGATCTCAAGTTCTCTCTCCCGCTGAGTATTCATGACTCTGAATATTTGCCACCTACATGCATGAGTTCACGTGAGGATTGTAGGTCATTTCGTATTGATGCTGTTTTCCCAGCACCCATTCATTAACAATGCCACATGTGGGCCTGGTGTGACTCAGGTCCCTGCTTTCCCAATCGCTCCAGCTTTGAAACTGGGAGCAAAGAGCAGCATCAATTAATTAACCAAACCTCACAAGGGTGTGTCTGTCGGGAAACCGTCCAGGTCTTCAGGGTGGTATCAGACACACGGCAGAAGGCAGCAGGCTGACGCTCTCTGTTCCAGCACGCCATAGCCTGTCCTGTTTTGTTGGGATCCTAAAACAGCCCCGTGCAGATACTATTGGGGGGAGGAGATTAAAAAGCAAAGAAAGTCATCGTTGGAAATTTTGCTGCTGAGCAGAAACCCAGCACTGCACTGAGAAAAGCAACTCCTGCTTGAAAGCAATTTAAATTAAATAAAACATACTCCAAAAAATAGGAATCATAGAATCATAGAACACTAGAAGAGGAAGGGACCTTGAGAGGTCATCAAGGCCAGCCCCCTGCCCTCACAGCAGGACCAAGCACTGTCTAGACCAGTGTTTCTTAAACGGTGGGCCACGGAGAACAATAGAATTCAAAATGGCCACCCTTAAAGGGGCAGGCAACCTTTTTTTTTTCCTCGATAACTTTCCTCCCGGCCCTTTCCTCCTGACTTTTTTTTTTCTCAACCAAAAATCCTTGATGTTCCTCATAAAAAAATTATTGTTTGGTGTTCCTCAGTCTTAAAAAGTTTAAGAAACACTGGTCTAGACCATCCCTGATAGATTTATTCCAGTGTTTAAGTTCCCCCTCAGACTTCTCTTTTCCAACAGTACTTTGGGTTGGTGAGTATGAAGCAGAGACCTTTGGAGACTGGGCAGCAAAGCTGCTTGTCCTCCCGGTACCCATGTCTGCCTCAAGGGAGAGGCACCTCTCATTCTCCACAGGATGATGCTCGTGGTTAGCTGTGGCCCAGTGCTGAACTCTGGGAGGATTTTCCCGCCTTTTGTGTCTGCTGCTCTCTTCTGGGCTATTTTGCTTGGTCAGGCATTTCTTGAGGATACATTCAAACATGTTCAAATTTGCTGCAAGACTGGAGGGGAAAACACAGGAGTAGAAAGACCCAAAGGCTACATCTAGACTGGCATGATTTTCCGGAAATGCTTTTAATGGAAAAGTTTTCCATTAAAAGCATTTTCAGAAAAGAACATCTAGATTGGCAGGATGCTTTTCCGCAAAAGCACTTTCAATCTAGACACGGTTTTCCGCAAAAAAGCCCCAATTGCCATTTTCGCGATCGGGGCTTTTTTGCGGAAAACAAATCTCTGCTGTCTACACTGGCCCTTTTGCGCAAAAGTTTTTTGGAAAAAGACTTTTGCCCAAACGGGAGCAGCATAGTATTTCCGCAAGAACACTGACAACCTTACATGAGATCATCAGTGCTTTTGCGGAAATTCAAGCGGCCAGTGTAGACAGCTGGCAAGTTTTTCCGGAAAAGCAGCTGCTTTTCCCGAAAAAGTGGCCAGTCTAGACACAGCCAAACAGTGCAGTTGTAACTGCCACCAGGTGGATTTGAACCTGAGACCTCTGGAGCTCAGTGTAGGAGCCTCTACAGGAGGGGTGGCAAACCCATTACAGACAAAGAGCCACAATAGTGGTGGATACAGCACAAAGAGCTGAGGGAAAGAAGTTGTTGAGCAAAAAAAAAACGCTGCCCTTTTAACAAACGCATGTGGCCCAAGCAGGTTTCCATCGGCCACAATGTCAGATCTCACCATTACTCCAAAATAACGATGCGAGCGTCTACACAGCAATTCCGTTATTTCAAAATCATTTCAAAATAATGGATGGCTTATTCCGACTTCTGTAATCCTCATTCTACGAAGAGTAACACCTGTTCCGAAATAGCTATTTCAAAGTAAGGCGTGGGTTGACGCTCCACTGCTGCTATTTCGAAATAGTCCCTCCCGAAGGCCATTCTGAGTTATTCATCCCGGGGCTCTAAATCGAGGTAGCACGTCTACATTAGGGAAGCCTGCCTCGGACTCATTTTGAGGCTTCCCTGCAGTGTAAACATGCTATTTCGAAATAAACTATTTCAGAATAACTATTCCGGAATAGCTTATTCCGAAATAACTGTGCAGTGTAGACGTAGTCTAAGAGGACTAAGTGCCCCTCCATGGGACAGTGACCCACACTAGAGGTGTGGGTTACACAGTGACCGGGGAGATGAGTGGTGAAGGTTGTGGGTAGGAAGGGAAAGTCCGTGCCCATGAGTACAGATCCCTCCATCTAGGGAAGGTATGTTTGGGAGAGCCCAAGACCAAGCCTTCAGGCCTCCAGACAGATAGCAAACTAAATTCTACTTTCATTGCTCCCTAGTCAGAGGCAGAAATCAAAACAGGAAGTTAAGTCTCCATGAGCTGCAATCCTGTAGTTCACACATTGCCCTTACAAAACCACTCAGCCACCGTGCCTTTTGTGCTTAGTTCAGTTGGCATCATTCACTGCCAGGTTCAGAAATAGCAGGTTCACTCTAGGCCAAAGCTTATAATCCGCTGACTCATGTCAGGTGTTTAAACAGAAATGGAAAACACGTTAGAAATCGTTTCTCTCCTGCCAGCCAGTTGTGTTGCGTGTAACTAATTCTTAGCTGGAGTTATGGGTAGACACAGCTCCATTGGTCTGATTATGTTTGGTGATTCCGGTATGTTTCTGTGATCTGAGCATTACCTGGAGTATTGCATCCAGTTCTGGGTCCCCCACTGCAGAAAGGATGTGGACTCTTGGAGAAAGTCCAGTGGAGGGCAACAAAAATTATTCGGGGGCTGGAGACCTACGAGGAGAGGCTGAGAGATTTGGGTTATTTAGTCTGCAGAAGTGAAGAGTGAGGGGGGATTTGATACCAGCCTTCAACTACGTGAAGGGAGGTTCCAAAGAGGATGGAGAGAGGCTGTTCTCAGTAGTGACAGTTGGCAGAACAAGGAGCAATGGTCTCAAGTTGCAGTGGGGGAGGTCTAGGTTGGAGATTAGGAAAAACTATTTCCCTAGGAGGGTGGGGAATTTTCCCATGGCGCAAAACTTAGTTACAAAAGGGAGGAAAACCCATTTCTAACAGCACAGACATCAGATCTACAATCCCACAACAGAAAACAATAAAACCTAATGGATTTATCTAGACTTTACCCTGCTTATACATTATGAAGAGTCTTTTTCTTGGAGAGAGACATGTCTTCTGTCTCTCTCAGTCTCTAGAGAGAAAAACTGGCCCAGAGACAGAGGGAAAACCCCAAAATTCCTTTGTCTCAGTTTGAAATCCTTATCTGCATTTCTATTGGCTGACTGCTACCTGGCTAGGTACAGTTAACCCCTTACACCTCAGGCTGCGGGCCATCCCTCATGACCATGACAGGCCGGATGCAACCCAGAGGTCCTGCACTCCTGCTCCTCATTTTGGTCAGGACACTTCTCAGGATGAGGCTGATGAAGGCCTGGGAGCTGGAGGGGCATATAGCCATCTGGTTTCAGTAACCTTCATCTGTTCTTCCATATTCCCTCCCAAGTGGACCAGGAAGGGGGGGCTGGGCAGTATAGCCCACCCGCTCACTGTCTTATCCAACAATTATGCCTCCTGCCTGACACATCTCTCTTGGTTCATTTGCGTCTGGTTCTGCTTTCTGTTTTCAACAAGTATAATTCCCACAAACCTTGGAATACATCAATGGGACCTCTTGGCTACATCTAGACTGGCATGATTTTCCGCAAATGCTTTTAACGGAAAAGTTTTTCCGTTAAAAGCATTTGTGGAAAAGAGCGTCTAGATTGGCACGGATGCTCTTCCGCAAAAGCACTTTTTGCGGAAAAGCGTCCGTGCCAATCTAGACGCGGTTTTGCGCAAGAAAGCCCCGATCACCATTTTCACAATTGGGGCTTTTTGGCACAAAACAATACCGCGTTGTCTACACTGGCCCGCTTGCACAAAAGCATTTGCACAAGAGGGCTTTTGCCCGAACTGCCGCAGCATAGCATTTCCGCAAGAACACTGACAATCTTACATGAGGTCGTCAATGTTCTTGCGGAAATTCAAGCGGCCAGTGTAAACAGCAGGCAAGTTTTTCCGCAAAAGCCGCTGCTTTTGTGGAAAAACTTGCCAGTCTAGACGCAGCCCTTCTGTTTAGACTCATCCAGGATCTTGTCCTGGTTTTCTTACCCCTGTCCCTTTCCACACTTATTATTATAGATTATTGTGACATTTGATGAATTTACACTCACTTTTCACAGTGAACTCACAGTCAGGGTAATATTCATGGGCCCAATTGCTGCAACATAACCCTTGGCCTCCCCTCCATCCCCTGGCAGCTTGGTCCTCCTTGGCTATGTCTACACTGGAGGGTTCTTGATCAAGAATGGCCGTTCTTCCGCAGAGCATCCACACTGCCCGCCCACTCTTGCACAAGATTTACAGTACAGCGTCGGAAGAGAGGGCGTCTTGTGCAAGAGCTACGCTCTTTTCTAACAGGTGTAAGCGCTCTTGCACAGGAGCTCTTGCGCAAGACGGCAGTATGGATGCGCTGCAGGGGATTCTCGTGCAAGAAAGCCCTATGGCTAAAATGTTCATCAGAGCTTTCTTGCACAAGAGAGTGTCCACACTGCCATGGATGCTCTTGCACAAAAGCACATGGCCGTTTGGACGTGTTCTTGTGCAAGAGTTCTTGTGTAGGAACTCTTGCGCAAGATGTTCTTGCGCAAGAACCCACCAGTGTAGACATAGTCCTAGAGTTCTGCAGGCTGCGGCCCATATTACGTCCCAACCAGTCTCCTGAACCCCTGGGGTGAGGAACTGGGGAGTTGGTTGGTTGCCCCGGCTTTGGTTTGCACCACTCTTCCACACCCGAATACAGGCCTGGGCGTTGAAACCAACCCCTCCATCCCCCGGAAACACGCCAAGGAAAGGGATGTTCCAACAGCAGATACCATGGAACTCTCGTGTTTCTTTAAGCACTCAGATGAAGGAATACAGGCCCTCAACCTCAAAGATCTTTTGGGGATTAAATATAGCCAAAATGCAGTATTTCAATATTGGTATAAGAATATACGTAGGGTGTATAATGGGAAAAAAGCTCTTTAAAATAGAGCCACCTCAGCTCATTCACAGAAGGGGCTAGCTGAATCCAGGATAAGTCAACAGGGAACTAATTAAAAATAGTTTCAATATAAATAGTGTGGGTGTTTCTGGGGGATAAAGAAGCAAGTTTCCATGCGCAGGCCTTTATCCGGGTGCAGAAGAGTTGATTTTTATTTTCTCTATATATACTTTAGAGATTTGTCTCTGTCTGTGAGTCTGTCTGCGTGTCTGTAAGTTTGTTTGTTCAAGAACTCCTCCTAAGCAATAAGAGCTAGGGCCACCAGATTTGGTAGGCAGCTTCCTCTTCTCCTAACGTAAAGCCAGGTGAGGGTTTGATTATGCCAAGAAAATGGGAAGTGCTGGGAATGGGACTGTTTTCCATAACATGGAAAGGGAGGGGCATGGAGAGGAGGGATGTGATACTGAGAGTGGCCACTGGAGGCAGCGAGCCCACAGGGGAGAGTTATTCTGCAGCATGACCACTGGGGGCAGCCGCACCAGCAAGAGAGAGGCCAGCAGGCGGAGTGAGGACACGGGGAGACATGAGCCAGAGGGACGTGCCCTGATGCCTGCACCCCCCAACACCCTTCCCCACCCCGTCCTGGCAATGCCTGGTAAGACTTCTAGTTTTTTTAAATTTTGATGCATAACATCAATGATTATTTTTAAGCATTTCCCCCTATTTTATATGTTCACCGCTGCAGGAATTGCAGGGAGAGGGTCAGGTCACGGGGTGGGTTCAGAGAACAATTATTTCAGGATAGGAGATGCTGAGATTCAGGAAATGAAAGATTCATCGCCATTAGAACACAAGCTGTCAAAACCCCATGACAAGAGAGACAACGTCGATAGCCCTCATTCAAAAATTAAGTTCTATGGGGCTATGTCTACTCTGCGGGGATTTTCCGGGATACCAGAGATATCCTGGAAAAAACCCCCGCTGCATCCAGGGAACACGTTTGCTCTTCCACTTTTTTTCATGGAAGAGCAGACATGTTCTTTCGGGGAGCCCTGTATTCCTTGTTTCATGAGGAATAAGGGTTCCTCCAAAAGAGGAAGGTTTTCTGCCCTTTGACCCCGTCTAGATGGGGCCAAATGGCAGAAAAACCTCTTCCAGAAAAGCAATCGGAAAAAGCTACACAAATTGCGGAGTGCAATTTGTGTAACCTTTTCCGAAAAACCCCCGATAGTGTAGACCTAGCAAGGCATCATTTTCCGTGTTTGGTCTCCCTGATGTCCATTATTATCTATGAAAATCATTTCTGTCAGGCTGTGTATGTAGGGCTGTGGTTCTCAACTGGTGGTCCACGGTGACTTTTTTGGTGGTCCACAGGAACATTATCCAAAGTCACACGGGGTGGGCAGGAACCAAAAATCTGTTAGTAAGAAATAAATTTCAAACCAAAATGTTCGCTGTCTGCTCTTTTTTATCTTTTCTCAAAAAGGAGGTGGTCCACGAAAATTTTTTGATTAGCCTGGTGGTCCGTGGACTGAAACGAGTTGAGAACCACTCATATAGGGTGAAATAGGGGTTTACGCACAGTGATCTATAAATATTGACGCCTCCCAGGCTTAAATGCAGTGCACTGACTTAGACCCGCAATCTTTTTGTTCCCGCCTGTTTTATTCCAGCGCTACCACCACTGACACGTTCGTGACAGAATAAAATCAGCACTTTATTTTGTCCAGCGTTTGTCCTACAAACGGTATCAAAATGGGCGTTCACAGAGGGGAGCGTTACAAACCAGCAAATGCTTATATGGGGCAATGTCCGAAACAAGCAATGGGAACCAAGTATAGATGGGTGAAATCCAGCATGGGCATTCGTTCCCTCACTCGCTCGTCAGGGCTACTCATGGGCCGATGGCAATGGTAGGGATGGGGGATACAAGCCCCCAGCCCCAGCCCTTCCGGTGAGGCCCTGCTCCCCACGGGAGCCAAGCCACCTCCCTGCCTCCCCCCCAGCATGGGGAGCAGAGGAGGGGAGTGGACGCACATGCCTCAGCCTCCCCAGCCCCAGAGCACTGGGGCGGGCTGGCATTGGGGGAAGCATTCTGTCAGTGGAGTGTGCGTGGGCCCCAGCTGGCAGTTTGGGAAGGCTGAGCCTTCCCCCGCTTAGCGTACCCGCTGCCCATGGAGCTACTATGAGAGGAGGTGTCAGGGGCCAGACCTGGGTGTAGGTGGAGAAACTGTTCTGGTGAGTGAAGAGAAACTGTTCTGGAGGAGAAGGCTCAGATGCTGCCAGCGGTGAGACTGTGAGGAGAGACTGTGAGATGAGACTGTGAGGAGAGACTGTGAGGTGAAATTATGAGGAGAGACTGTAAGGAAAGACTGAGGTGAGAATGTGAGGAGAGACTGTGAGGTGAGATTGTGAGGAGAGACTGTGAGGTAAAAATGTGAAGAGAGACTGTGAGATGAGAATGTGAGGAGAGACTGTAAGGTAAAAATGTGAGGAGAGACTGTGAGGTGAGAATATGAGGAGAGACTGTAAGGAAAGACTGAGGTGAGAATGTGAGGAGAGACTGTGAGGTGAGATTGTGAGGAGAGACGACTGTGAGGAGAGACTGTGAGGTGAGAATGTGAGGAGAGACTGTGAGGAGAGATTGTGAGGAGACACTGTGCCAGGGGAAAGAGGAGGGGAAGGACACGGGCTGTGGCAGAGGGTGGAACAAGTAATTGTAACAAGGTTAGTACTTTAGGCCATATGGGGCCTTTCCCTTGAGTTGGCGCATCCATCCAGGCAGCATCTTTCTGCTGAGCTCACCAACACTCAGCATGGGGAGGTGACTCACAAAGGGGGAGGCGGGTTATTAATTAAATAGAGAAATTAAAATCTTAGGTGTGTATCTAGCCTCCAACACTCTAATATCTTCCATGTGTTTCCCTTCACCACCACCCCCGGTGAGGTAGGGCAGTGCGGCTACCCCCAGGGTACAGCTCCCGTCCCTCTGAGAAAGAACCACAGCCCAGAAAATGAGAGAGAAGCGATTAGCAGAGGGATCTGAAACGACACACAAGAGACCGGGCTGTGTTAGCCCAGATGGCAACTTTGCCCAGAGGGCTTTGGGTGTCCCTCGGGGAAGAGGTTCTTTGGGAGGCCCAGTTTTTTTCTGGCCCCCTCACAGCCCCGTTCTGAGGATGCAGAGGAGGCTGGCCAGGATCCCCGTGACCATCACCGCGTAGCTGGCTCTCACGCTGCTGGCCCCGCTGATGTTGCACAAGAAAGTTTCACAGCAGGAGGTAGACAGAGCTGCTATGCCGATGTTCAAGTTCGTTTGGGGACACACCGAAGAGCATTTCTTGCTGATGCGCTGTCCCTTGTTATCACCTGAACGGGGGGAGAAAACCGAGATGAGAATTGTCATGGAAGAGCCCCCAACGTTCCAGCAGCCCTGGGCAGAGGAGAGAGCGGTTGTGGAGGAGGGCTAATGAGGATCACAGAATCCCAGGGCTGGAAGAGACCTCAGGAGTCATCGAGTCCAGCCCCCTGCACAAAGAAGGATCAACCCCAACTCGATCATCCCAGCCAGGGCTTTGTCAAGTCGGGACTTAAACACCTCTAGGGATGGAGATTCCACCCCTCCCTAGGGAACCCATCCCAGAGCTTTCCCACCCTCCTCAGGAAATAGTTTTTCCTAATATCCCACCAAGTCCCCAGCCCCACCTCCAGCCCTGGCCTTCCACTGAGGCCCCATCCCTGTCCTGCCCCCACACAGGGAGGCGGGATGACGTGCCACTTGCGTGCTCCCCCCTTTCAATCACAGGGGAGGAAAGTGGGTGGCCGCATGCTCACCCCAGCCTCCTCAGCCTCATAGGAGGCCACGTCATGTGGTCGAGGCCCTGAGGAGGCCACACCACGTGGTCCAGGCTCAGAAGAGGCCACGCCACGTGGCTCAGCCCCATGGAGGCCACACCACGTGGTCCAGGCTCAGAGGAGGCCACGCCAAACGGCCCAACCTGGTCTCTCCAGTCCCGGAGCACCAGGGGAGGGAGGAGGACATGCCATGTGGCACAGCCCAGCTCTCTAGCCCTGGAGCACCGGGGAAGGGAGGAGGGTGCACCCACATGGTGCAGTCCAGCCTCTCCAGCACCAGGAGGATGGGCGCTGGGGGCACCAATCCTCCACCCCCAAAATGCCTCCAGCAGGGTTTCTGGGGGGCGGAGCATCAACAGTGCCAGGCTGGTGGTTTGGGAAGGCTGAGCCTTCCCCCACCTTACACATCAGACACCCTCGCCTTCCTCACTGCAACTTGAGTGGTTTGTTCCTTGTCATCTGCCCCCTCTCTCTCCATCCTCTTTGGAGCTTCCTTTCAGGTAGTTGAAGGCTGCTGTCAACCCTCCCTGCCCCCCCACACACTCTTCGCTTCTGCAGACTAAACAAGCCCAAATCCCTCAGCCTCTCCTCGTAGGTCATGTGTTCCAGCCCCCTCCTCATGTTGGTTGCCCTCCGCTGGACCCTCTCCAATGCATCCACATCCTTTCTGTAGTGTGCCCAGAACTGGACACAATACTCCAGATGTGGCCTCCCCCGAGCCAAATAAAGGGGAATAATCACTTCTCAGGATCTGCTGGCAATGCTCCTCCGAATGCACCCTAATATGTCATTAGCCTTCTTGGCTTCAAGGGCGCCCTGTTGACTCAGACCCAGCTTTTCATCCATTGTAACCCCCAGGTCTGCCCCAGGCCTCCAACCCAACCAGTCTATCTGGTAAGCAGCTCCTGGCCTTGTGATTCCAGTTGCTATTCCTCTCCTTGCAACACCCAGCACCGCAACAGCGTCACAACACCCATCTCTTGTCAGCCTGTATGGGAACATCATGTCCAGAGTCCCGTGAAACAGCCAAACAAACAAAAGACCATCCTCAGGGCAGGGAGAGACTTAGGAAAACCTCACAAAGATATTTGTAGGTACTCACCAATGCCTCCCGTCGCGTAGATGGTGAGACAGTATTTGTCCGAGTCGGCACACTGCGTTGGTGTAAGACACTTGAGGTTGGACGACTCCTCAGAGCATGTGAAGCAAGACAAAGAGGCCACTGCAAAAGGAACGCACAGCCCAGCTTAGCCACTTGGGGAAACCTCCTCTTCTGAAGGGCGCATCCCAAAGGTTCCCATGTTTGGCAAAGGGAAAGAAAAAAGGCAGGGCACAGGGGAGGCAAAACTAAGCAAACATTTTCTCTGTGAAGCTGAAGGCCCCTGGAATTTTAATTTTGATCTAGCGGGTCTGAGAGTTCTAGGAACAATTTCAGCTACAGGCTGAACCTCTCTAGTCCGGCACCCTCAGGACTTGACCAGGGCTGAGAAAATTTGCCGAACCAAAGGAGGTCAATATTGCGTAGCGGCATTACCAACACTTCCCCTGCTCGCTGGGCTCTTAGGGTGTGTCTAGACTACATGCCTCCTTCGACGGAGGCATGTAGATTAGCCAGATCGGCAGAGGGAAATGAAGCCGCGATTAAAATAATCGCGGCTTCATTTAAATTTAAATGGCTGCCCCGATCTGCCGATCAGCTGTTTGTCGGCAGATCGGGGCAGTCTGGACGCGACGCGCCGACAAAGAAGCCTTTCTTCATCGGCACAGGTAAGCCTCGTGAAACCAGGCTTACCTGTGTCGATGAAGAAAGGCTTCTTTGTCG